CATATTTTGTGAACCTATGAATTCAACTGCCAAGATTTATAGCTTGTACCTTCTGGAGATATATGTAGAGCCACACATGGCCTCAGCCTCAAATGAGGCAGCTAAGTGCTACACTGAAATTTGGGGAGCAGACATTCAAGGTGGCCATGGGCAGTGAGCCATTTCTGTCCTAAAAATCCTAACATTCTGAGCCTGTGATGGGAAGGACAGCCTCAAAGATCTCTGAAGTGCTTTGGGGGTCTTTTTCCCATTGGCTTGATGAAAAAATAGCAGCTGAATCTCTATCCACATGAATATCCACATGAATCTCTTTAGTAAACAGTCACTTGGCCATGGTCTTAGTATTCTCTCCTGAAGCACTTTTTCACTCTTAACATGGGCAGGCTGCACGTTTTCAGTCTTTCCACTTTGCTTCCCTTTTAATTATTAATTCTGTCTTAAAATACTTTCCTTTCTCCCACATCTCACTGTATGCAGTTAAAAGTAGCCAGACAGCAGATTGAACGTTTTGCTGCTTAGATATTTCTTCTGTCAGGTATGCTAGTTTATCACTCTTAAGTTCCATCTTCCACAAGTCCCTAGGGCATGAACACATGCAGCCAAGTTCTTTGCAACAAGGATGACTTTCACTCCAGTTTCAAATACCTTGTTCCTCATTTCTGTGTGAGACCTCATCAAAATGGCCTTCATTGTCCGAAATTTTATCAACATTGTGGACATGACCACGTAAGTAATCTCTAAGATTAAGGCTTTCCCTACAGCTCTTGTCTTCTAAGCCCTCACCAGAATTGCTCTTAATGTTCCATTAATGGCAATACAGGCTTCTTCCAGCATTCACTTCAAAATTATTCCAGCCCCTGTACATTACCCAGTTCCAAAGTTGTTTGCACATTTTCATGTATTTGTTATAGCAACAGCCCCACTTCTCAGTACATATTTTTATTTTTAATTTTTTTCTTAGTATCCCAATTTAGAAAGCTTAGTTCATGTTCTGCCTCAACAACAGAATACCACAGACTGAGTAATTTATAAATAAAATAAATTGGTTTCTTACAGTTTGAGAGGCTGAGAAATACAAGGGCAGGCATCAGCATCTGGTGAGGGCCTTCTTACCATAACACAGTGGAAGGGCAAGCATAAGAAATGGAGAACAGGAGGGCGCCACGTTTATTACAAGCTCACTCTCACAATAACTAACGCACTCCTGAAATAATGGCATTAATTCATTCATGTAAGCAGAGGCCTAATCACATTTTAAAGGTCTCACCTCTCAACATTGTTACAATGGCAATTAAATTTCAACATGAGCTCTGAAGGAGATGTTTAAACCATAGCACCAGGGGAACTACAATAATCCACAAAACCTTCGAATTAGTTGCTCTGACAGTGACCTTAGCTATAGGAGATATGTGGGCCTGTAGGTCCTGAGAACTTCTGTATACCCTTATCCCACTTAGGCACAGTTACTGAGACATTTGTAGATGCCCCTTTATAAGGGGCTCATCCACTCAATCCTAATTTGCTAGTCCCCCATACTTGCTATTAATACAACCAGTGTCTCTGTACAGTATATGGTTCTCAAACTATTGCACGTTGCTGTGGATTGAATTGTGTCCCCCAAAGTTCATATATTAGAAGTTTAATTCCCACTGTAACTGTTGATGGTAGGAAATCCTGTTATGGTAACTGAAAGGTGGGGCTTGGAGAGGTGATTGTTTTGTGAGGACTGCACCCTCATGAATGGATTGACCCATTTTTGGAATCGTGGGCATGGTTCTGAGGGCTTTAAAAGGACAGTGCATGAGGAACTATCTCTCTCTCTCTCTGCTCCACCATTTTCTGCCATGCGAGACTCCTGCATTTCTGTAAAGTCACCACCAAAGAAAACCCTCACCAGATGTGTTCCCTGGATTTTGGACTTCCCAGCCTCTGAAACTATAAGCAATAAAATTTTGTATTCTTACAAATCACCCAGTTCCAGGTATTTTGTTATAAGCAACAGAAACTAATACATATGTCTTACATCCAGGGACATAACCTGATTTTTTACTTCAAGACTCATGGTTCCTTGGCAGGTCATGGGGCTGTTGTTTGTCCTCTGCTATTTCCTCTGGAGCACATAAAGTTGAAAGCCCCAGAAAATCATTTACTTTTTCATTCTGGCAGAGCCCAATTCTGTTCTCAACCAACAGCATCCAGTGAATAGAACCCCCAAAAGAAAATGTGTCTTAAATAGTATAACCTTTAGGGCCGGCCCGTGGCTCACTCAGGAAAGTGCGGTGCTGATAACACCATGGCCATGGGTTCAGATCCTATACAGGGATCGACGGTTAGCTCACTTGGGAGAGCATGGTGCTGATAATACCGAGCCAAGGGTTAAGATCCCCTTACTGGTCATCTTTTTTAAAATAATAATAATAACAATAATAATATAACCTTTATGGTCACAAAAACCAGCAGGGTGAGGCAGAGTTACTAGGTTGGGCAAGTTGGAAAGTGGAAAATTTGTCAGCAACATCATAAGATCACCAGTAATCCCCTTGGAGAAGGGAATTCTCTATAAGCTTCCAACTGAAGCAAGCTTGTCTCCTCTGTTCAAAGCTGAGTGATGTCTGCACCCAGTCAGGGGAATAGAAGTGAGGCACCCCAAAGATCAAATGACTGGTGAGTACTCCAGATAAACTTAGAAAGCAGAGCAATTTGCCCTCCTTGAGTATTTTAAGGTGACAAAGGTATTACCCACTGTGGCACCATGCCAGCTAATAGAGAACGTTTCTATAATACACTTTCAGTAATATAACTCTGACAAAAGCCCTAGGCAGGTCTAAGAAGTGCAATGTAATTTATGAAAGCTTTCCATATACCTGGCAATTACAATGAATCTCCCTTATGTAGATGTTTGGATGTATGAGATTCAGTTTCTAGCCGAGATGACCCTCACAAAGGCTAACATCCAGAGTTTTGCTCTGTGGTCTTACTATGTTAACAAGAAAAAGGTACACTGCCTTCACTATTAAGGCTTTTCTCCGTGAGGTGAAGCTAATGGCTGAAGACCTTCCAACTTTCATTGCACTCATAGTACCCTTCTGGGTGTGTAGCTGTCAGATTTAAAGATTATTTTGGTGTTAGAACTAAACACAGTAATGCTTGGATAGCTGAAAGATATAATACTTTGTTATTTACAGCTCAGAACCAGCGGACATAAAGCAGGGCTGCATGGGGCTTGCACAGGCATGCAGGATAACATCCAACTGGAGCCACCGAGGGCAGCTGTGTGTGGCCAGTCTACTGGGGTTAACTAGGTTTCCTGTGCACCCTGTGGGTTGGCTACTTTGAATAATTTTACAGACTCCAGGTCACAGGGGCTGTCCCTGTTGAATACCTAGCCCTGGGGCAATTGCAGCTGGTATATAGTGGCCCAGAGCATGAAAGCCTGATAAAGATAGTGGTTGGGAGTATGGACTTAATCAGCTGCTCCAGAAGTGGGACTAACCAGCCTGTAGCCAGGTCCTCTAAGCTGGGTCAAGACACTATTTTTAGAACTATACAAGGGTACTTCAAAAAGTTGGTGGAAAAATAAGATGAAAATATAATACAAATCTTTCTATAAACTGTTAAAAGATCCCTTGTATATAAAAACACTGTGGTACTAGCATAAAGGCACGTACACATATAGACCAATGGAATAGAACAAAGAGCCCAGAAATAAACCCTCACATTTAGCTCAGAATTTTGATGAGCGCAAAAAAAATAGATAAAAAACCTAATGCATGACCTAAAACTATAAAACTCTTAGAAGAAAACAGTAAAAAAGCTTAATAACACTGGATTTAGCAATAATTTCTTGGACATTATGCTAGAAACACAGGCAACAAACATAATAGACAGTATTTGAAAACCATAAATCTGACAAGGGATTAATACCCAGAGTATATGAAGAACTACATCTCAACAATAACAAAAAACAAACCCAACATGCATTTGTTAATTAACTAGATTTAACCATTCCACAATGAATATATATACTTCAAAACATTATGTTGTACATAAAAGTATACACGGTCTGTCTACTTAAAAAAAAATTTTTTTAAATAGGCCAAGGAATTAAACAGACATTTCTCCAAAGAAAACATACAATTAACCAACAAGCAAATAAAAAGATGCTCAACATCACCAATCATTAGAGAAATACCAATCAAAATTACAATAAAATAACACCTTATACCCATTAGTATAGCTATTATAAAAAACAAAACAAAAAAACCCAAAAAACAGAAAATAAGAACTGTTGACAAAGATGTGAGATATTGGAATCCTTGCCCTGTCTATGAGAATGTGAAATGATACAGCTGCTATGAAAAATAGTTCCTCAAAAGTTTTAAAGTAGAATTAACATATGAAGCAGCAATTCCACTTCTGGGCATGTACCCAAAATAATTTAAAGCAGGGCCTCAAAGAGATATGTGTACACATGCTCACTGCAGCACTGTTCACAATAATGAAAAAGTGGAAGCAACCCAAATACCTATTGATAGATGAACAGACAAAGAAAAAGTGCTATATACATGTAGTGGGATTTTATTCAGCCTTAAAAAAGATGGAAATTCTAATCCATGCTACAACGTGGATAAAATTTGAAGACATTATGTTAACTGAAATAAGCCACAAAGTAAGTCACAAGAAAACCAAAATTTAATTTTTCTTACACAGAGTACCTGGAGTAGTAATATTCATTAGAGTAGTGGTTATCAGAGTGTAGTGGGGAATGGGGAATTATTTAAAGGGTGTGGTTTTAGTTTTGTAAGATAAAAAGACTTCTGGATATTCATTGCACAACAATGTGAATAACTTAGCACTACTAAACTATACACTTTAATACAGTTAAGAGGGTAGATTTTATTTTACAATTAAAAACATTTTTTTAAAAAATAGTTCCCAGTGCTAATTCAGAGCAGATTTCTGTTTGAAGTCTTTCCACGTTTCCTTTACTCATAAGTTCTTTATCTGGTGTGAACTTTTTGGTGCTGAATTAGGTGGGAATTCTGATTAAAGAATCTCCCACATTCGCTGCACTTATAAGGCCTTTCTCCACTGTGAATTCTCCGATGTTTAATGAGGCTGGAGTTGTATCTGAAGACTTTTCCACATTCACTGCACTCATAAGGCGTTTCTCCAGTGTGGACTCTCTGATGACTAATGAGTGTGGAGCTGTCCGTAAAGAACTTCCCACATTTAGTGCACTCATAAGTTCTTTCTTTAGTGTGAACTTTTTGGTGCCGAATGAGGTGGGAATTTTGGCTAAAGTCTCTCCCACATTCACTGCACTCATAAGGCCTTTCTCCAATGTGGTTTCTCCGATGTCTAATATGATTCGAGTTGTGCCTAAAGAATTTCCCACATTCACTACACTCGAAAGGCCTTTCTCCAGTGTGAACTCTCTGGTGCGTATCAAGAGTGGAGCGATACCTAAAGAATTTCCCACATATGCTGCACTCAAAAGGCCTTTCTCCCGTGTGAACTCTCTGATGACTACTGAGTGTGGAGCTGTCCATAAAGAATTTCCCACATTCACTGCATTCATAAGGCCTTTCTCCAGAGTGAACCCTCTGATGTCTATTCAGTGTGAAGCAATATCTAAAAAATTTCCCACATTCGCTGCATTCATAAGGCTTTTCTCCCGTGTGAACTCTCTGATGAATAACGAGTGTGGAGCTGTCCATAAAGAATTTCCCACATTCACTGCACTCATAAGGCTTCTCTCCAGTGTGAACTTTCTGATGTCTAATGAGCGTGGAGCGGTATCTAAAGAATTTCCCACATTCGCTGCACTCATAAGGCCTTTCTCCAGTATGAACTCTCTGATGAATAATGAGTGTGGAGCTGTCTATAAAAAATTTCCCACATTTACTGCAATAATAAGGCCTTTCACCAGTATGAACTTTCTGATGTCTAATGAGTGTGGAACTGTACATAAAGAATTTCCCACATTCACGGCATTCATAAGGCCTTTCTCCAGTATGGATTTTCTGGTGACCAATAAGGTGGGACTGTGTAAGGAAAGCCTTCCCACACTGGCTGCATTCATAAGGCCTTGGCCTGGTGTGAATTACCTGGTGCTCGATAAGGTCAGACCTTTTTGTAAAGAATCCTTCGCTGTGGATTTTCTGGTGCTGAACAAGGTGGGACTTTCTAATGAAAGCCTTCCTGCATTCAGTGCACTCATAAGGCCTCTCTCCAGTGTGAATTCTCTGGTGTTCAACAACATTATATTTGAGACTAAAGGCTTTCCCACATTCCCTACACTTATAAGGCCTTTCTCCAGTGTGATTTCGCTGATGTTTAATAAGGTTGGAGTTGTACTGAAACAATTTCCCACATTCACTGCACTCATATGGCCTTTCCTTAGAATGGATTTTTTGATGCTCAAAAAGCATATGTTGGTGGCAAGAGTCTTTCCCACATTTGCTACAATTGTAATAATTCTGTCTGCTTTGAAAGGCCTCCCTGCCCTGGGTGTCCATGTGTGGCTTCCACTCACTGTGAGGAACCTGCTGCTGGAGAAGGTCTGAATGGGCAGTAAAGTCCTTGCCGCCCTCCCTGCAAGGGATGGTCCTCTCTGCCATGTGAACTTTGTGGTTCTTCAAAAATGAAGGCCTCCCCTCATCACTTCTGTAAAGTTTTTCTCTACTCTGCAGCTTTTGGCGTTGGTGAAGATTTGCCCCACAGATGTATAGCTCTTGATCAGTGTGTGTCTCATCCTGCTCAGCCAAGCACAGAATGCCTTTCAAGTGTGAGCTACATGTCTCACAGGCCTGGGTCTTCTGGGTGGATAAATGGGGCTTTGGAGGTGTGACCAGTGACACTCCCACAGAAACACCTTGCTCAGGTGCCTTCTCATCCTCAGTGCCATGCCAACAACCTGTAAGCAGAGAAATGTCAGTAAAGTGCATGTAGATTCTGATGGCAGGAGGCGGCCCCATCACAAATGTCTGTCAGAAATACCCCCAAATATTTCCATGGTATTGCTAACCAGACTAAAGCCAGTGAGAGGAAGGGCTGCTCTGCATAATTGGGCCTGGCAAGCATCCAAATGGGGAGAGTCCTCACGATGGGGAAGAACACAAGGGACGGGCACAGTGCAGGGAGGAAGGAGAGTATCCAACTCACTCCTCTGCAAATGTAGAGAAGGCCATGGCTGCTGGTGACTGTTGAGCAATATGTAGGTTGTGTCCAGACCCTGAGATATCTGATTGCAACAGAGTAGCTGGTGTTCAAAGAAAATTGAGGGATACTTGCAGACCTCCCAACATTTAAACTACAGGTCATATGTTGGAGGACGCTACAAAGCGAGCAGTGGAAGAGAACAGATGAGAAGTGGAGGCCATAGAAATGGGGGCTGGAGTGAAAAGTCAGAGTAGAAATGACGATAGTGATGAAAATGGACAAATGAGGGGTGGCCACTGGGCCTGGCATCCAATAACAATGGGCACAGGAGAGGTTCCCAGTGTGATCTGAACCCAGCTCTGATATCACACCATTTCTCACCTCCTATGCACCAGGGCCATATCCTTTTGAGTGTTTCTTGCCATCACTGGAGTAATGCTCATCCTGTCAGGCATCCAGGGCCCTCCCCATTGCTAAAGGTGAGCAACTATTTAGGGGCATAGGCCAGAAAAAGGGAATGACCAAACATGCCAAGAGCGAAACATCCCAGAATATTCTGCATTCTAAAATCACAAGAACTTCTAGAGGACAGTCTTGCAGAAATAACCCTGTAGTCCCCACAAGTAGTGACCAGGTAGGTGCCTGAAATGCCTAGCAATGGCAGGCCCCAAGACATGTCAGCAAGAGGAAGAGGGGAGGCCTTGGGCAGAGGGATTCCACACATCTGAACAGAGTAACCTGGACAGGAACAGGAAAGAGTGGTGGGATCTCTAAGTCAACTTCAAGATTTCTGACTCCTGATCCCTATCTTGCAAGTACTCATGAGCAGCAGCTTGTGGGTTGATTGAGAAGCAGTAGAAAGCACACAGCTCCACCCTGGCTCCTACAACATATATGCCAGTAAGCCAGTAAAACAAGTAGCCTCCATGGCCTGGTCATGAGAAGGTAAGAGCTGCTCCTGGGGAAAATGGGAAAAACAGGGCCCAGCCCAGGACACTGCGGTAGGTATGAGGGCCTTACCTATTGATGACAAAAGTGCGAAGTTCTCCAGCATCACATCACGATGCAGGTGTCTCTGAGCCTCATCAAGGAGCCCTGACTCCTCCTGGGAGAAATATATGGCCACATCCTCAAAGACCATACGATCCTGCCAAAATTATGACAGTTCAATTCGTGAACAGCTTCTTGTTCGGTATTTCCTGAGCTCTGTATTTAGCTATTTATCATCTCTTAACTACAGGGCCAAACAAACAGCCAAATCTGTTTACATTTCCCTTGTGATGCAGAGCCTATACAGTTGTCCCTCAGTATTGGGGGTTGGAGGAGGTGTTCCAGGACCCCCTGTGGATACCAAAATCCTCAGATGCTCAAGTCCCTGATTTAAAATGGCATAGTATTTAAATATAATCTACACACATTGTCCTGTATACTTTAAATCTTCTTTAGATTACTTATAATACCTAATACAATGTAAATGCTATATAAATAGTTGTTATACTGTATTGTTTAGGGAATAATGATGAGAAAAAAGTGTGTACATGTTTAGTACAGAGGCAACCATCCTTTTTTTTTCCTGAATATTTTAGATCCAAGGTTGGTTGAATCCATAGATGGAGAACCCACGGATATAGAGGGCCAATAAGAAGGGACACCTTCTTATCTAACTCTCACATACCAATATTTCCTCTGCCCTAAATCAGCCCAAGCCCTGATACCACACAACTAGCTATGCTCCAAGGCTCAATGGACTTATTCAAACTAATCTTCACCTCGCCCTGTCCTGCCTTTCCCAACAAAATCCCAATCAAACCTCTAGTGTGTGCTTTACCCTCAAGCCTGCACCTGCCTCCTAACCAAATCTGCTGTTTCCACTTTGGCCTTATGTGGCATGGCATGTCCCCCGCACTCAGGAAATGGAATAAAAATTCTTTCAGTACCAATGGCCTCTCTGTGTTGTCACTCAGTCATGTCCATAAATTAAAATCCTTAAATACACTTCCCTCTCCAGGATCTTCAGTCCTCCCCCTGACCCCACCACACACATATACATACCCTGCTCAGCCTCCACCCAGTTCCCAATATGGAAGAAGATACCTGGTCTTGATGGCATCACAGCCTGCTCTCTCCACATTTCTACTGATGGCTGAGTCCAGCGTAGAACAAAAATAGGTGGGGGAGGGGGTGGAAAAACACCATGAAAGCCTGGCAAGGCCTGCTTTTATCAGCCAATTTCCCTGGGTTCTCCCTGATCTTGCCTCCCAGGCAACCAATCTCAGACTCATCTTTCTCCCTTATGTGCCTTGTGCCAGGGACTGAGGTCAACCATTCACACTCCTCCTCACCTGCACATCATTTTTTGGACGACACCTCTCTCACATCTCCAGCCCCTCCACTGCTGTAATGCTAACAACAACCATGGCTCACACCATGGGCATTTCTGTGGCCTCCCAACATGCCACTCTGGTGCACGGCAAATGCAAAATCCTATTTACCCTTGTACTGTCCAGAATGCCAAAGTTCCTAGTACCTGGGGTAGCTCCAAGCCCTTCTTTGAAGGTCTCACCTACCAGCCCTGCTTCCTACTTTAACCTCAGCCACCCAAACCTACGTGAGGACCTCACAGCTTCCCACACCTCCACTGAACTCCAGATCTTGGCTGCCTCCCCCTCTGCACTGCACAGAGTCATCCCACAAGCAGTCATGACCTTCTCTCTCTCCCTAACCCTAATCCAAAGCCCAGCTGCACTGACCTCCACATCCCTACCCCCATCGTAGACCTAGCAAAGATCCTAGCTGGTCCCATTTTCCCCCCAAAGTAACCTAACAGCCTGAATTAAACCATCCATGTTCCACCAAGAATCACCAGAAAACCCTGGTCAGTCAATAAAGGGGAAATAAGCCCCACCCTGGTCTCACTACCATCTGACCTTGGTGGAGGTGCCTCAGCATACATTTCACGTCCAGTCTCCCATGGGAAGCCTTTCTCACTCCTCCATACACTGCCCCCCATCACACACACCCTCAGTCAATCCATTCCCTCTTCTGCCTTTGTGATGTCCACCACTACCACCCAAGTGCCCAATAGAGACCCACTCCTCAGCGCCTTCCTTCCCCTTTCTCCCCGCCAATGACATTACCTCCAGAACCTAAAGATGCCAATTCCTAAATCTGACCCACAGCTTCACTATGGTATCCACACTGGCTGTCATGTAGTGGATGTCCCCATCCTGAAAGTCTCCACTGAGCTGCAGACCTATGTGTAAAATCCAACCTGGCACCACCACTCAGAGTAGGTACATTTATGACTTGGCCAAAAGCTGGTTCCTTGTATGCCCTATTAAAATTCCTCCTATCGGGCCGGCCCCTGGCTCACTCAGGAGAGTGCGGTGCTGATAACACCAAGACCCCGGGTTCGGATCCCATATAGGGATGGCTGGTTTGCTCACTGGGTGAGCGTGGTGCTGACAACACCAAGTCAAGGGTTAAGATCCCCTTACCAGTCATCTTTAAAAAATAAAAATAAAAAAAAAAATTCCTCCTACCTCCCAGAGAAATGTTTTGGGAAAAAAAATTTTTTTAAAGGCTTTATTGAGGTATAATTGACATACAACAAACTACATAAATTTAATGTGTTACAAAAAAAAAAATTCCTCTTGCCACAGAACTTATCACATCTTGGTTGCTGGAGCACCCATCCTTCCAAACAATGTCAAAGCCTTGGCACCATCCCAGATTCCCCTTCTATCCCATCTCTCCAGTTCTCTCATTTTCCACATCATAAAATGTGGGCAGTCCTAGTTCAAAACTACCAGAAGCCAACCATTCCTCCCACCTCCATGGTCACCACTCTCCTCCAGCCACCACCAACACTCTCCTGGACTGTTGCAGAAACTATCTCCCAGGTATCCTTGCCTCCACCCTCACCCTAAGCTGTCCTCCTCTCTGCAGGTAAATGGAGACTCTTAAAATCTGGGTCAAATCACCTCTTTTACTTCAAACCTTCCCTGCCTCCTACCACCCTCAGATTAGAGGCCCAGAACCTCAGGCTGCAAATTCCAGGCCTGATCCCTGCAAGCCCCGACCTCCTGCCCTGTTTCCTATTTCCACCAGATATAACACGTATTTGCAATTCCATAAACATACCAGCTAAGTCTCACCACCAAGCATTTGAACATTCTAGATCCTGTGCCTGGGATGCCCTGCCACATCTCACCCCATTGGTTGTTAGAATTGGCACCACTCCATATAACCAGAGAATGAGTTCAGGACCCTGGGTCTTCTGGTGGAACTATAGGGTCTTCAGACCCAAGGGTGGAAAAAGCACAGGTGAAGAGTCTCAGGAAACCACCATTCCCTATAAAGGTGCCGAAATAATCAGAGTAATAACTGTGTGGGTGAAAGTCTGAGACACCTTCCACTCACCTGTGCAGGGTCCATAAGCATTTCTGCCACAGCCGTGGGACTCTGGGTGAAGAAGCAGGCCATAAGAAATAGGCCACCATCCTACAGGCTGAGCTGGACCATCACCTACGCTCTGTCCTGGAGCAAAGTGATGTGAAGCTAAGTGAGGCTCAGATTTTAGTGATGCTTCTTAGCAGGTCTGAGTCTGGACAAGGACTGAACCTCCCTAAGCCTCAGTGCCCTTATCTGTAAAATGGGGATAAAAATGGCTCCCACATCATAAGGGTCATACTGGCATCAAACTAAGTAGTATGTATCAGTAATTAGTTTCTATAGGATTAACGGTTTTGTGTGATTTCAGTGCAAATGAAGTAGCAGGGTTTTGAAAATTTGAGTGTATTTTTCTCATTTTTTAAGGTTTTAAGAAAATATGATATATAATCCCATTGTAAGCAAATACTTAGAGGAAAATTAACATTCCAACAATTATTAAGTGTTCGAATAAACTTATTGATTACTTCATTTCTAACTGCCTACTTATGTGCACATATTTAGAAGGATATTGGTTAATCAGTTTTCAAATGAAAAAGTGTTTTACACATTCTTAAATTAATGAGCTGTATGGAGGGGCTGAGCAGGCAGGTCAGTTACTGGTCCCTTCAGCAACCAGGCCTGGCTGCTACCTAATGATCTAAATGGGGCTTGCTGGGAGCCCTAAACATTCTCCTGGGATGGAGAATGTGAGAACGTTGTGCCCAGGCCTGGACCCAATTGCTCCATAGCTTGATTGACCTTTCCCTTACTCCACAGAGAGTGGCCCTGAGGGTCTGGGAGCCTTCAGGGTGGAGTGTCTACACCACCTCATACCGCAGTCTCCATTCTAGGCCAGCTTCTTACTCCATCCAACCCTCCCTTTTTTTTTTTTTTTTTTAAAGATGACCGGTAAGGGGATCTTAACCCTTGACTTGGTGTTGTCAGCACCACGCTCAGCCAGTGAGCGAACCGGCCATCTGTATATGGGATCCGAACCCGGGGCCTTGGTGTTATCAGCACCGCACTCTCCCGAGTGAGCCACGGGCCGGCCCCAACCCTCCCTTTTAACAGACACAGACCAGAATTCCTCTTATCCCAGATCTGTTCCTTCTGGAGGAACCAACAGCGATGCCTCCTCCCTCCCCCACACACAACCACCACGGTGGATCTCAGCCCTCCCCTCTCTCACCACAGAGCCCATCTGAAATAACATTAAGATTCTCCCTTCTCAATCTGATCCACAGTCTAAACCCTGGTCCAGTCCACAACTTCTAACCCTCTGAAAGCTCCAGACTGGCTACCTTCCCTAATCTCTGGAACTTATGTCCACCTACCCATGTGATGTCTCCATTTTGTGGTATCTCAATTACCACGTACAAAATCCAACTCATGATCTTTTCTCTAAACCTGCTCTTTACGCTAACTTCCGCAACTCTATTCTTTCAGGTATTCAGGCAAAAACACTTGGGATGGTCCTTCACTCCCTAATTTACTCACAGCCATATGTGATGCAGAGAAAATCCTGTCGGTTCTAACTTTCCAATCTACCAAAAACTCATCACATCTCCCCTCTACTGCCACCCCTCTGGTCCAGCCGCCAGCATAATTCTCCTAGGTCTACTACAGTGGCATTGCCACCGATCTCCCAACCTCCATTCAACATCCTGTTTTTCCCAACTTTACATTTCTAATGCTGGGCATGTCCGTCCCATCCGCCCTCCCTTCACAACCTTCCATGGCGTCCAGCTACTCTAGTGCCACTCCAGGGGAGACGCAACCTCACTCTCTGTTCCCTGGAGAGACGATACACCCCGGGATTCCCCAATGCGTTCGACTCAGCAGTATCTACAAGCCCTTGCACGTGCCGGTCCTGCTGAAATGGGGAGGGACATCCCACACAAGCACACCCCTCTCTTCAAAGCACAGGGGCCCGACCCACAGTGAACTGAGCAGGAGCCCCTCCATCCGGGCATTAGCACTCAAACACCGGGAGCTGGGCTGGGAGCCGGTTTGGGGACGCGGGACCCACCTGATGCGAGTTCATCAGGGCGGCCTCCGCCGACCGAGCCAGGGAAGAGCAGGGCCGGGAGCGGCGGGTGACCGGGACAGGGACAAGGGCACCGGCTTCCCCAGATTGCTCAGTCGATCCTCTCGCCCGCCTCAGGGAAGCGGGGACAACACCTCTCCTCGAGCCTTTCTGCTTCGTCACCTCGGTCTCGACCCAGCCCTCAGGGACCCTTAAATCAGCGACTAGATCCAAAATCAGCAAAACTGCCACCACCACTAGCACGCCGCCGGAAATCCCGCCCACGTGTTACGCAAGTACGTAAACGCCTCTATGCTACTCTTTCATTGGCTCAGCTGGCTGCCTTCGCACGCCGCAGAAGCTGCTGGGTAATGTAGTTCCTACGCCGCTAACTGCCCTGTCTCCTGGAAACCAAGAGGTAACTTAAGAGGTGTTAGAAAGAGAGTTCGGAGTTCCGTAGCTCCAAAAATGAGGCGGGGCCTCACTGGATCTTAAACGGTAAGAATTCAGATTTTCCGGGAATGCAGTCTCGATCAAGTCTGAGAAATGTTTTAGGGAACGGTTATTTCAGATTGTATGAAGCACAGCGAGATCCCAAAGGACATACATCCGAAGGGGCACACCAGACCATAATGACACTCGGTGTCCAGTCACAGCTGTCAGCTCTTTTGATACTCGTGAGTACACACAGACTGAAGCTTTGGGGTTTGTTTTATGACTTTCAGTATGCTCCGTCGGGACAAGAAAGAAAGGACCCCAGGTAGGCATAACTGGGAGTTGGAGGAGAAATAGCTTTCCTGCCTGAATAATCAGTGATTGTGTTCCAAACTAGCGAGCAACGCTTTTATGCAGATGAAATTTATCACTTTACATCTGAGATATTTTCATTTATTATAAGAATCTGAAGAATCATTCTGCTCATGATGCTACTTGAGAGCCTGTGTCTCCTTAATGAATGTTCAATGCACAAAGGAATCATATAAATTGGATGGGACTACTGTAAAAGCTATGTTACAATGTAAATGGGATATAGACAGTCACTAAAGGAAATTTTAAAATAAGCGTGTCCCGTGTAATATTTTTCCTTTATCTCAGTATAAATATGCATAAGGACCTAGAAATAATTCAAATTTAACTGGGCCACAGATTATTTACTAAATCTGGCAATCCTACTCTTTCTAATTTTTTTCACCTAACTGCTCACTCAAATAACTTTTACCCATTCCCTCAACTTTAAGTTCCGCTGGTTGGGAGGAATTTGTTCTCAAGAGAGAAAAGCTACCACCAAAAGAACAATATTATGAACCTTGACTTGGAATGTGAGACAGCTACTTGGTCATTTTGGGTTCCTCATGTTACTTGGGAAAGTGAATTGCTCTAATGTTTGGGTGATTTTTCTCTAGTACTGAGATAAGAGGTGCTCAGTCCCCCTGGGATCAGGTTTCAGGCCTCTCCTCTGAGTTTTGGGCCACTCACCTAGGACTCAAGCTCCACCCCTGAGTCCTGAACTACAATGGCCTGTAGCACCTATTTTCTGTACCAGCATGTGGAGATTGAGACTGCAGGGGGCTGTTCACTGGCTCAGCATGCTCAGTAAAAAGGAGATTAATCCCTTAAACGACCTTCCACTGGAGGCACTACAGAGCATGTAGAATATTCTAAGTGTATTCGCTGCATGTGATGGAATTTGACCAATGAGCGTGCTCTAAAAGAGACCAACTGAGCATGTGCAAGACTAGCTTACCACCTGCTTAGTTGAAGGCAGGGCTGTTACTCAGTCTCCTAGAGACAGGCCACACTTCACCTGAGGTTTATGTTTCTTTCCTTTTGTATCAATCAAACTTGCCTCTGGCAGGCTGTTCATCCTAAAGCCAGATTGCACTTTGTCTGTGAATGTTTATTTCTTTTGTATTAAACTTGGTGTGGTCCCTGCTCAGTCTCTGGAACTAGGTCACACTTTCTCTGTGAAATCTGTATTTCTTATTTGTTACATTAGACCTGCCCTCACTTTCTACTGTGACTCTGCTCTTGAATTCTTTCCTGTGGCAGACTCAAGAACCTGGTAAGAGGATGGGGGTGGGTTGAGGCCAGGTATTGGGCCTCCCAAAACCCTCTCCTCTGGTATCAGTACCAAGAAGTTGAGTGGCTGCTATAGAATGGCAAACATGGAGAACTATATCTGGAATTCAGGGAATTCTCTGGGGAGTGTTTTGATAACTTCATACCCGAAAATAAAACTGCAGAAACACAATAAAGGCAGGACCCCTGAAGAATCAGACCATTCTGGTTTTGAAATTTTGTTTTACCCACCAGTTTAAAAGAAAATAAAACAACACAAAACTTCCCAACTAAAGGTCTGGCAGAGGCAGAGGTTTGGAGTGGGTTGTGGAAAATGAATGGACATTAAAGTAATTTTCAACATATGACCAGTTAAGACAAGAAGTCTCACAATTGTGGATATTTACTTCTTTGTTTAGGTGTGAGAGATTTACTATACAAATGGACAATGGCTACATCAAATATAAAAATTGAATTCTAGCTCACAATCTGCACCAACCAGTCCAGGAAGTCAACTTGGCATCTACGTAATCAGTCCAAGAAGTCAGGAACCACAACCAGGTCAGAGGCCCAACAACCACCCATATAACAACTGGCTCAAAACAGCCAGGACTTGATTAATAACTGACAGCTTCCCTAACTTTTGCACACAATTTCAACTTAGGACCAACTGTAGAAAGCCAAATATGCACCACTAGCCAATCACATAGGATGTTAAACTTCTGAAGAGCTACCCTCCACACGCACACACATCGTCTCCATGACAATAGCTTCCAATCAGGGCATACCTGATACCTTACTCTTTTCCTACAATAGAGCTTTCTCACTCCTCTGCTTGCCTTTGAAGTTCTGCAAAATGCAAGAAATGGTGGCTGACTCCCTTGCTATAGTATTCTCTGAATAAATAGATTTTGTTTGTTCTCATTGGAGTCTTCGTTTACTTCCAAAGTTATCTCTTTGGAACCCAAGAATGCTCCTATTGAGCATGTTTCTTATTAATGAAGGTTCAATGGACAGAGAAAACATATACAAGGGTACTTCAAAAAGCTTGTGGAAAAATAGAATTAAAAGATAATCTAAATCTTTCCATAAACTTTTTGAAGATCCCTCATAAGTTGGACGTGACCACTGTATGTATCATAGTTATTGTGGTGGTCTGAGTGAGATATAGTCTAAACTGTCTGGCACTGTGGACCCCAGGCTGCAAACAGGTGTGGTACCCACAGAGGTTCCCTGTGCTTTGCTGTCAAGTCTGAGATGACATGGTAGTTAGCAACAGATCTCAACATTGCTATCTTTGTGTTAAATTCCCTGGCTACTTATTCTGTTTGGTCTCCAATTTTGTTTGTTTTATTGGCTCCCTTTAGGTTGGCATCCTTGGTAGAATTACCCCATGACTTTTTATCCCTTGTTGCTTTCTTTCATATAACAGTTTTTGCTATGCCATCTAAAAGTATTGTTTGCCAAGAGAAGGATAGTCAAAGTAAAACTCAGGCATAGGCCTTAGTGACTGTTGCTTCAGCCAGCCTCAGACCACTGGTTTTCTGGTTTTCCCCGGACTGGCATTCATTTGGACAGACTTTGCTGTAGGCCACCAATAAAATGGGATGAAATTCTCCTTCCTTCCCCATTTGTTTTTTGGTTTTTTGTCCTGAGAGTTAGGCATTGATCCAGAGAGAGTATTTTCTCAGATTTTCTGCATGCTGGGTGTGCAGGTTGTCATGTCTTAGTGTGGAGGTGGCAACCAACCCATCATGTTATAGGAACCAGGCCCAAGGCACACAATCATTACATTCCTACTAACCACTTTCAGCTTTCATAAGGTTGTCTAAATATAAATCCTCTCCTCTTCCAGGAAAAACTCCTGCGTGTTATATGTATGCTCATTACAGTTGTAATCCTAGTGTTTATATTCCTAAATGGCATAACTTCACCAGGATGATTTGGGCCTTCAGTGGCCACTCAGAATATTTCAGCTGAAAAAAAATTGTTAATTTCAGAAGTGCCTTAGAAAAGAAAAAATGTAAGATTTCTCAGGCACATTGAGCAGTAATTTTTTTTTATTGGTATGATCATCCAGGTTCTGAATCAAAAATTGTTTCACTAAAAGTTTTCTTGGCTAAATCCAATGATCAATTTGATAAACTTAAGCAAGAACTGGACCTATTTTCCTAGTAAATTCTCCCCCTCCTTGTTCTCCAGTTGCCTCCTTATAAGCTCTTCCTCTTCCCCTTTATTCTTATGATCGTCGTCCTTCTGCACCTCTTCCCTCCTCTTTCCCAAAAAATCTAAAACCCCACAATGCCAATTACCTCTAAAGATCCATACCTCCCAAAAGCCAGGTATGTAGGCAACTGTCAAATTTAAATCTTGGACCCAGGCTGAATTAACAGCTGCAACTAAAGATTTCCCTAAACCCAAATAATACCAGCAAATAATCATAGAATATTTTAGAATTCTTTCAGGTGCATGTGACCCAGAGTTATGTGACTTACTTCATGCTATGGTTTAAATGTTTGTCCCCTCCAAACAGTATTAAAATGTTGGGACCATTAAGAGGTGTTTAGGTCATGAAGGCTCTGCCCTCATAAATGAAATAATGCCATTATCGTGGGAATTGTTTCTCCTTATTATGGGAGTGGGTTCACTTCTTCTTGCTCTCTCTTTGCTGTTCTGTCATGTGATGCCTTCTGTCATGTTATGATGCAACGAGAAGGCCCCCACAAGATGCCAAAACCCTGGTATTGGACTTGCCAGCCTTCAGAACTGTGAACCAACACATTTCTGTTCTTTATAAACTACCCAGTCTGTGGTATCCTGTTATAGAAGCTCGAAACAGGCTGAAACGTAGCATTTGTATACATGTTGGGCTGAACCTTAGATGATAAATCCTGAATAGCAAAAGCTGATTAGATTGACCCTGATAGGGAACTATAGGATCTCTTTCCACAGTAAACCTGAGGGTCAAAACAAGGCCAGAAATTAAGTTAAATTCTCCTAAAAAACACACCTGAAACATTTGCACTCAAACTCAGTTGGACCAGAGTGGGTACTACCAAACAGAAAACAGCAACTGTTGCCAAGGATGTGGAGAAATTGGAACCCTGTGCCTGTTGGTGGGAATGTAAAATGCTGTGTCCACTATGGAAAAACAGTACAGAATTTC